GTTGCAGCATTTGTGCATGTTAGTCTTGGACAGGATTACAGAATGGTTCGTAATCTTGTATTCTTGTCTCAATAAATACAAAAAGAAAGAGAAAGGAACATGTAGTGCTAGAAAGAACAAAAGGGAAACAAGGAATATTGATAATTAATGTAGTTCTGTTTTCTTTTTTTCTTTTTTTTTTCTTTTTTTTTTTTTTTAATTATCTTCCAAAATTTGTGATAAACAACTTGTGGAAAAAAAAAATAAAATTAAAATCATGCATGGATGTATATCAATATGATTTGGTGAAATTAATGGTTCATGAATACTTCAAGATATGATAGGTTGTAAAGTGGATTTTTTTTTTTTTAGTATAATGTAGTTTAGTATAATATAGTTTAGTATAATTTGTATCGTCACTTCAAAATTTAAAAGTACATATTTATCAAAAGAAAAAAAAAAAGAGGGGTTCGAAGTACATGAACACGATCCCATTTTTGTAATTTAAATATTTTCATGTAACAGTATAAAACTGCCACCGTAAAGAGCTTGAAATTTTGGTTTTTTATTTTTTTGGGTTAAAAAATGGGGAAACTTAATTAGGACTTTTTTAATGACTAATTTTTTTGGTATTAACCCAATATTAAAGATCAAAGTAGCATCATAATTTGTTGGAATATTCAAGTTAACGTATGAGTCATTCTCCAATGTTACATGGAAGTTTCTTATGTGACTTGCCAGCTTTCAATTTCAAAGTCATACACAACAAAAATGAAAAACAAATATTCAAATTTTAAATGACCAAAAAAATAAAATTTCAACTACTTGTCTTAATCCAAAATTACACATGTGCAAGTACGCCATCAATTCAATTAAACTACAAATAAATTATAGTAACAAATTAGTGATACAATTAAAAAGTATGGATAAATTTTGAGTATGTTAGATGTAATAATATTTTATCTAAGATATACGTTATTATTAAATAGTATATTTAGATAAAATATAAAATTGTATAAGGTGAGATGTGAACTTACAACTTTAATGTTAATAAATTATCATCAATTATGAAAATTTTTTT